TATCTAAACTGAAAACTATCACACCTTCCGTAGTGATATTGGTAACATAGAAGAAAAGGAAGGGTAAACTCAACTAAAAAACTTGCTTTTCCTTTTTAAGGAAACAACTAGACATTTAACCGCCCCCTCAATAAAGTCTGTTGAACAAGAATAAAAGAATATGTGCTTATGTTCAGGTTCAGGGTCAAGTTCAGATATAACATCAATAATAGCTACATAATTAAGCAGACGCAAGGCAGAGCACTCAGAATCATGCATTCATAAATTCATACTCTAGCAATTAGTAACAATGCAGCCTTTTTGTTTATGTATATAATACGTGACTCAATTGCAATTTAAATCATTGATCACTAAAAGACGATATTCAACATGTACAATTCTGGCCAAAAAATGTAATTTTCTAAGTTCAGTCATTTTTAGATGCTTGTAAAAACAAGGATCTATCTCCATCTTAGAACAGAACAAACCCAACATCATCATTCTAAATGAATGTATACTCAATTACTTTATTCTAGATGAAATTATCATGAATATTACTAATTTAGGCCACCTGAATTTCAATGTTCAAAGCTGAAAGGAAAAAAAAATAGTATAAAATCAACCAACATTTTCTAAACTTCATTAGTATCATAAAAACACCTACATTTAATGAAGTAAATTTCCTCACTTCTAAACAAACAAATATAGATAACCATACCTTGCCCATTTCCAAATAAACAGCAGCCCTATTGGTGATGTACGAAATATCCTCATCATCAAGCTCCATTGCTGTCGTGTAATGCTGAATAGCTGTCTCGAAATCCTTCTTCTTATATGCAGCATTTCCAGCCTCCTTCTCCTTTAAAGCTTTCTCCTTCTTCTCTTTTTTCTCCTTCTCCTCCTCCGAAATTTCCATCGGTTCAGGTACCGTCTCAGGCTCAGGCTTCTTCACCTCCTCCTTAGCTGGCTGTGAAGGCTGTGGAGCTGGAGGCGAATCGGCCTCTGGAATATCCATGTCGTCGCCAGCACCATGCGCCTTAAACTTAAAATTCAATAGAACTCCCAAAGCTTGCATAATCCTCTGATCCTTCAAATACTCGTTCAAATTGGTAGGGTTTTTCTGAATATCCTGCATCGCCTTAACAAAATCCGGCTGCTGTAAATAAAGCCTAGTCGTCGGATCTGCAGTCAACTTCGCCCACATCTCCGGCCCCTGAAAAGCATCGCCGAATGGATTGGGTGGCGGAGCCGCCCTAGATCGTGAAGTCGAAGTCGAAGCCGACGCTGACTCCGATTGAGCATCAGCCAATCCCGACTTAAGAGCTTCATTATTAGGATCAATCTCGAGACCTTTCTTATACGCCGAAATCGCGTCTTGATATTGGTGCAAGCCGAGGTGAGCCGCGCCGACCCTGCTGTAACCTTTGGACCAGTCGGGTTTGAGTTCGACGGTCTTTTTGGCGTCGGATAATGCGGCATCGTATTGATGAAGAGAAGCGTAAGCGGCAGATCGGTTTGAGTAAAGGACGTGGTTGGACGGAGCAAGGTTAATAGCTTCCGTGAAGTGTTTGATTGCGGCGTTGAAATCACCGGATGAAAAGGCGGCGTTGCCTTTGGCTTTTGCTTCGTCGGCCATGGCAGAGGAATCTGTTAGCTTCGAATTTTTCTTTGGGGAAGACGATTGTGATTTTTGAGGTTTAATGTAATTTAGAAAAACACAGATATCAATATAATTTATATAGAAACGGAAAGCAAAGCAGACCAGAGACTTTGGTGGTTCTCGAAGCTTCTTCAACTTGGCTTTTCGAGTAGTCTACCTGGATTTAAGGGGTGTTTGGTTAGGTGATTAATTAATTCTGGAATTATCTAACCGGGCATAAGAAAGATTTCACGGGTTAATTTCATATAACCGTCCCTAAACAGCCAGTCAGTGTTTAAATTGGTCCATACATTTTAAATTATATGTTTTAATTGAATCTTAAAAATATTAATATTATATTAATCAATCCTTCAATCTGACAGTAAATTTAACCGTCAGGTCAAAATAAATATAAATTTAAAAAAAATTAAAATTAAAATGATTTTTAAAAGTTCAAGGGTAAGATACTAAGATATAAATTATAATTTTCCTTTGCAAAGTCTGATTTATCTTGCATTTTCTACATCAGAGTTTTGTTACATATAGTCCAAAACTGATACATGAAATTTAGAATTTAAAGGGGAAAAAGAAGTAATGTTGGACATCATATTATGAACAAAAAATGGTGTTTGGATGCCAAGAAAATAAATAACAAAATCAAGCAGCAACTTCTTGCTGTTTTGAAAGCAAGCTCGTTCTGGATATGTTGAGGGACGACATCAAACTTGGCCAATTGCATTGTGTAGGATGCACGGCCTTTTGTCATTCCTCGGAGAGTGCTGACATATTGGAACATTTCGGCGAGCGGAACAAGGGCATCCACCACCTGCAGAAAATCCGGTGCCGAATGCATCAACACGATACGATTACGAGGAAAAACATATTTCTCCATCTCGAATCGGAAAATGATGCTGGTGGAAAAATATTGTTCGGTAAAAACATAAGAGAACACAACACTGCATACTTGCTCATGGTTTAGTGATAAATTAGTGTAATGGGTGCTTACTAGGAATGGTCCGACGAAATATCGGAGACTTCGACTAGTTCTGTGGAAGTATTCGATCGACTTTTTCGACTCAAAGTAAAACAAAGGCGAAGTTATCTGATATTACCTTGAGTCCACCAGGCTTATCACCAAAGCTGTTAATCTGGCCTCTCCTAGAGTTGAGATCACCGATCACATCACCCAAGTGTTCTTCGGGCGTAACAACCTCGACTTTCATTATAGGTTCGAGCATCCTAGGGCCAGCCTTTCTAACCCCCTCTCGGAAGGCCCCCCTGGCAGCCAGTTGAAATGCCAAGACACTTGAATCAACATCGTGGTAAGAACCGTCTACTAGCACAGCACGTACATCGACAACAGGAAAGCCTGCGAGGACACCGTTACACGTGCACTCCTCCAGCCCTTTCATCACTCCGGGAATATATTCTTTTGGCACCGCTCCACCTTTGATTTCACTCTTGAACTCGTATCCATTACCTGCCTCCATCGGCTCGAAACGAACAGTGATATCAGCAAACTGACCTTGACCACCTGACTGTTTCTTGTGCACGTACTTGACTTCTGAAACTTTTGGAAATGCTTTCACGGTAATTAACTTGCGGTGCGCCGACATTAGCTTCTACCTACATGCACCAAGCAATCAAAATAATGAGAAGTATTTGATGTTTATGCATCAGTAAAGCTATTAAATGCACACAAACACAGTTTTCTAGAATTAGATGTTGCTACAAACCTTGAATCCTCTCTTCAGACGATCAACGATGATCTCGAGATGCAATTCTCCCATTCCTTCGATTACAGTCTGGTTGATCTCTTCGTCTCGTGAGAAGTGGAAAGAAGGGTCTTCTTGAGCAAGCTTGATCAAACCATTAGCCATTTTATCGACATCAGCTTTTGTCTTGGGTTCAATAGCAACCTTAATTACAGGATCGGGGAAGTCCATCCGCTCGAGGACAACGGGATGGTCAGGGTCGCTGAGTGTTTCACCCGTAATGGTATCTTTTAGACCGGCAAGAGCAACAATATCACCAGCCAAAGGAACCTTAACATCCTCTCTACTGTTGGCGTGCATTTCCAACAATCTACCGATTCTCTCTTTCTTTCCTTTGTTTGCGTTCAGAACATAAGATCCTGCGCTAAGCTTTCCCGAATACACCCTGACAAAGGTAAGGGATCCTACAAATGGATCGGTCATGATTTTGAAAGCTAGTCCCGAAAATGGTTCATCATCGCTTGCTTTCCTTTCGATCGTCACTTCAGGGTTCTCAGGATCAGTCCCTTTCATCTGCGGCAACTCAACAGGCGATGGCAAGTAATCCATAACGGCATCAAGTAACGGCTGAACACCCTTATTTTTAAAAGCTGAACCGCACAATACAGGCACAAAACTGATTCCGATCGTTCCTTTCCTAATTAATTTCTTAATGGTTTCCTCATCAGGCTCAACTCCTTCAAGATAACTCTCCATAGCTTGATCATCTAATTCAACAATCGTTTCTATCATTTGCGCCCGGTACTCTTCAGCTAACTCCTGAAGATCAGCCGGAATATCGGCATACTAAAACTTTGCACCCAATTCTTCCCCGGACCAAAGTATAGCTTTCATCTTTACAAGATCAATTACACCTCGAAAATTGTCTTCTGCACCAACTGGTAGTTGAATCACGAGCGGTTTAGCACCCAAATTTGTAACTATCATGTCTCGTGTCCGGAAAAAGTTTGCTCCTAGTCGATCCATCTTATTGACAAAGCAAATTCTGGGTACCCCATACTTATCAGCCTGCCTCCAGACAGTTTCAGATTGTGGTTCAACGCCAGCAACACTATCGAACAAGCATATAGCTCCATCTAAAACTCTGAGAGCTCGCTCCACCTCGAGCATAAAGTCGACATGGCCAGGGGTATCGATAATATTAATCCGGTGGTTTTTCCAAAACGTCGTAGTCGCAGCCGATGTAATGGTAATACCTCTTTCCTGCTCTTGTTCCATCCAGTCCATTGTAGCTGTACCCTCGTGTACCTCACCGATTTTATAGTTCCTCCCCGTGTAGTAAAGAACACGTTCAGTCGTCGTCGTCTTTCCTGCATCTATGTGAGCCATAATTCCGATATTGCGATAATCTTTCAACGGTACCTCACGCTTCGATTCTGTGAACCAATGAAAAATATATCCATCTTAAAAACACAGAAAATAGCAAGAAATTTGTCACAGTACATGGAGTCCAATACATAGAAAACAATAGTATTCAAAGATGCATATAGGATGAAAAATTATCAGACGTCGGATTGGTGTTTTCACCGAGCATACCACCTATGTAGTGACTAAACTAACAAAAACTTTTGCCAATTAGGTCACCAATGATTGATTTTAGTGTCAATCAAGCCACTAGTCGTTAGATCAACTTCGATCGCTGACGGAAATGATGACCTGTCTCATTTTTCATTGAGATAATGAAAATATTAACCAACCATATTTACACAGCCGATCAATTTAGTCCTATTCTAGATAATTCGACCAAATTAAACTCTAATTTACAAACTTTATTAATTTAGTCCCAAAGTTTGTAAATTTTCTGTTGGGTGGTCAGTTCAATGACTAAATAGATATATTTACTCAAATAATTTCCTTAGCTTAGACAAGCAAGTATACCAAATTCTACATTGCCAAGCGATGAAACAACTAAATTAAAGCCGAGGTGAACAAAAACCCAGGCTTCAAAAATTTAAAACACGGCAATCCAAATAAGCAGTACACCGAATTACTCCAGAAAATAAAATTAAAAAATCAACCAAATAACTTAAACAGTAATCCAAAGCAAGAAAGGCGGAAATGGAAAACGATTACCATCAGCTGCCATAGCAAAGACAGAGAATCTCCTTTGCTTCCCCTTTTGGTGATGCGAAATGGGAAGTCCTGAGCCAATTCGCACGCTTCCCAAGAACTGAGACAGTGAAGAGGAGACTGAAGCAGACGCTCGAGGACGAAAACCGAGAAGACGAGCTGAAGAATATAAAGGGGTTGGCCTCCTTTGAGACCCATTTAGACTACAAACTATTGAACTCGAACCCGAAACTCTAAGCCCCGTTTCTGCCGCCATTTTCTTGGTCTAATGAAATTTTGAGCTCTCCGTTCCTCTCTGTTTCTCTCGTCCTATGGGTTAGGCTAGGGATAACGATAACTTACGATGTTCTATTTATCACTGATGTCCGTATCTATGATAATTTAATAGTAAACTATAAATTTTATCACTCAACTTTAATTAGAGTTACATTTTTGTAACTGCACCTTAAACGTTTTCGATTTAATTATTAAATATTTAAATTGCTTTATTTTTCCACTTAATTACTAAATATTTGACAATATTATGACTTAATTGCTAATTTAGCACCCAAATGATAATAAATAGAACCATTCAAAATTTCAGTGATTAAATTGATAATTTTAAAGTTTAATAATCATAACATAAATATAGGTAAAATTGAGTAGTGAGATTTGTAGTTTTCCCATGATGAAAATGAGTTGATAGTGAGATTTGAAACCGACGGCCGCTAAGGTGCCACGTATGTTCGAAACAATATACCCGCACAAACCAGGAAGGTGGGGCAGCGTTCCCCAGTGGACTCCTCTCAGCCTATCAGAGTTTCTATGCGTAAAAATTAATAGAAATATGAATTTTTAAATTACTAATAACTATATAATATAAAGACCACATGAATATTTATGGTATTCTAAAAATAAAAATAAAAAACAACTGTGCCGATGCTTAAACTTCGACAGCCTCCACACGTCTATTGATTGGTAAGTTCCTTTTTTATTTTGTTTATTGAAATGTGTGGATTACATATAGAGTATTATATTATTATTTTTAGATTGAATTTTAATTTAATTGAAACAGTTATTATAATATGTATGTGTGTATGATATGTATTACCTTTCTAATTTTAGTATTCTTATTTGTATATGTTTGGTTTTAGATTTATAAGTGAAAATAGATTGATGTATCCTCGATACATGTTAAACCTTAAATCATCCTCGATCAAGGGTAATACGTGTAGAGGTCTTTTCCTGGTACTTTTCTCGTGTGTTTTAAGAAAAGAAACACCAATTTCCTACGAGTGTTATATCGAATGAGGAGTTGAAGGTTCGGGTCGGGTGCGTTCGAGTTACAATTTCTTTGTTATTTTAATGAAAAAACGAAGTGAGAAGAGACTGATGTAATCTCGATGCTTGTTAAACCCTAAATCATCCTCAGGCAAAGGGTAACGCATGTGGAGGTTTTTTCTTGGTGTTTTCCTCATGCTTTTTAAAAAAAGAAACACTAATGCCCTACGAGTGATGTTCGATGGAAAAGTTCAAGGTTCGGGTTGAGTGCGCTCAAGTTACAATTTCTTTGTTATTTTAGTTTAAAAAAAGAAGTGAAAAAAACCATTGTAACCTCGATACCCGATAAAACCTAAACCATCCTAGTCAAGGGTAACACGTATAGAAGTATTTACCTGGTGTTTTAGTTCGTGTGTTTTAAGAAAAGAAACACTAATGTCTTACGAGTGTTGTCTCGATGGAGGAGTTGAAGGTTCGAGTTGGTGCATTCAAGTTATAATTTCTTTGTTATTTTAGTGAGAAAGAGAAGTGAAAAGAGGTTGTTGTAACCTCAATACCTATTAAACCTTAAACTATCCTCGGTCAAGGAATAACACGTGTGGATGTCTTTTCTTAGTCTTTTCCTTGTGTGTTTTAAGAAAAAAAAATACCAATGCACTACGAGTGTTGTCTCGATAGAGGAGTTGAAGGTCCGGGCTTACAACTTCTTTGTTATTTTTATGAAAAAAGAAAGTGAAAAGAGATTGTTGTAACCTCGATATCCGTTAAACCCTAAACCATCCTCATTTAAAAGGGTAACACATATGGAGGTCTTTTTCAGGTCTTTTCCTTGTGTGTTTTAAGAAAAGAAACATCGATGCCCTACAAGTGTTGTCTTTATGGAGGACTTGAAGGTCTAGGTTAAGTGCACTCAAGTTACAACTTCTTTGTTATTTCAGTGAAAAGAAGAAGTGAGAAGAGACTATTGTAACCTCGACACTCGTAAAACCCTAAACCTTCCTCGATCAAGGGGTAACAAGTGTGAAGGTCTTTTCGTGGTGTTTCCCTCGTGTGCTTTAAGAAAAGAAACACCAATGCCTTATGAGTGCTATCTCGATGGAGGAGTTGAAGGTTTGGGTTGGGTGCGCTCAAGTTACAATTCTTTGTCACTTCAATGATAAATGAAGTGAAAAGAGATTATTGTAACCTCGATACCTGTTAAACCCTAAACCATCCTCGATAAAGGGGTAACACGTGTGGAGGTCTTCGTTCAAGTTACAACTTTTTTATTTTAGTGAAAAAGGAAGTGGAAAGAGACTGTTGTAACCTCGATACTCGTTAAACCTTAAACTATCGTCGATCGAGGGGTAACACGTGTGGAGGTCTTTTCCTAATGTTTCTCTCGTGTGTTATAAGAAAAGAAATATCAATGCCCTACGAGTTCTGTCTTGATAGAGGAGTTGAAAGTCTGAATTGAGTGTGCTCAAGCGCATACTAATCGATATCAAGTTCTCAACTATAGAATGATATGTATTTTGTTACATATATTATAGTGAATGATGATATGTGATGGGTAACTATTGTCTGATAGTAATAATTAAAAGAATTACTGTTATTTTGTTTTTTTGTAGAAATAGGATATGAAATGATGTATTTTCACACCATTAACAAATTAATATTATAACGTTCTTATTGAAACGCAAACAAAATTTCATTATGAAACTTAAATTATTTTAAAGTTTAAGACTACAATTGATTCGTAACTAAAGTGTAATGACTAATGGCATACTTTAACCTTTATTTTAATATAATTAAAGGCGTGATCAAAGGTTTCACAGACTACGCTATTGAACCGAGTCGAACTATGTAGACCGGCCTTCAAACAAAATTTTTCTCAAGTCAAAGTCAACTTGAACAAAAGTATTTTAAACTTGTTTGGACCGAATTTCGGACCAGCCTGGACATCACTACCACAGATTAAAGAAATAGACGGGCAAAGGTTTTGCATTTATTTAATCTAAAACGTACCAGCCAGGGAAAAAGGTGTAAAAAAAAAAAAGTGGAACTGAATTCCCCAGATGGCTAAGTTCCTGATCATGGCGGTTCTTCTGGTGGCGGTGTCGACGGCAACTGTTACGGACGCGCAAGCAACTTGCGCGCAGAAGCTGGTGGGTTGTGCTGCTTACATCAACAACGCCACCGTCAAACCCGGAGACGACTGCTGTAACCCTATCAAAGAAGCGGTTAAAACGGAGCTTCCGTGCCTCTGCAACCTCTACAAGGACCCTAATATTCTCCCTTCTTTTCACGTCAACGTCTCGGAAGCTCTCAGGGTCTCTCGCGAATGCGGCGTCCGTACTGATCTAAGCAACTGCAACGGTAAGTTCGCCGTCGATTTTATACTTTCATTTTTTGGATGAAGATTTGGTTAATGATCCTCTTTGTTTAGTCTCGATTCAATCCGTTCATCGTTGAAATTTACGCTAAAAGGGAACTTCGACTAATGGGGTAATTAATTCTCTCTTGATTTTTTGTTTTCTCTTCCACAGCCACTTCTCCAACCTCTGCTCCGTCTCCACCAGGTAAACAGCAGATCGAATTTGCAATTTTTGAATATTTGAAATTGCTAAATTATTAGTTATTTAATAAAAAAAAAGGAGATTACTAAATTTTTAGTTATTTCTTAGGCTAAAGTACACAAATGATACATGATTGTAGTATATTGTTTTATTAATTTTTTTTATTATTAAAAGTTATAAAATAGTCCTTCAATTATATAATGTTACATTCTTAAGTCACTAGACTATTAAAAGTTACAAAATTATCACTCGATTATATATTTTAAAGTCTGTTCTTTTCCATTAAAAAATTGACGATTTTCTAAGTTGGACTTTAATATGATGACTGAAATATGATAATCATTTAAGATATGAGATCATATTTTATCATATCACAGTCATCAGGTTAACGATCAGTTCAGAAAGTTGTCAGTTTTTAAAGGAAAATGATGATTTTGGGACATAATAAAAAGTTGGGTGATCATTTTATAATTTTTAATAATTGAATGACTTAGCAAAACAACACTTTATAATCGGATAATTATTTTATAACTTTTAATAGTCGATGAAATTAATAAAACAATACCCTATAGTTGGGACCATTTGTATGCTTTACCTTTTTTTTTTAAAAAAATGATAGAATCACAATTCATTAATTTTAGGAGAAAATATAATTATTGAATAATTTTAAATAGATGATTAATATTAAAATTTTATACGTTAATATTTTAATTTTTTTTACTAAAGAATAAAACAATAAAATTTTAGTTTCAATTGTTTATTTTAAATTATTTGATAATTTTTTATGTAAATTATTGAGTTTTGGGATTTTTTTTTGAAAACATAGCTAATATCTTTCTAAACCAAATATAATTCATGAAACAAAAAATATTTACACAAATGTTAGTTTCTTTCTTGTGTGTATGCATAGGAATAGTATATGACTTGGATTGTATGAGTTTCGATCAATTTGATTTTTTAGGGTTAATTTTTTATTAAAAGAAAATTAGATTTAGATCGATCTTTTAAAGAGTAAAATTAAGTTTAAGCTGAAATTTTCACTTGAGATAATATTATAATTATCTTATGGAATATATATTTATGGATGGTTATAATAATATTTGTTTATATAATTTTTAATTAGATTTTTATTTTATAATAATTGTTTTTATATATTTATAGCAAATTGGGTGTTCTTTTATCTAAAAAAAATTGAGTAATGTTTTGAATAAAAAAATTGTTTTTATAATATTCCAATTGGATTCAGATCAACTAAAATCTGATCCAACTATAGCCATAATCATAATTTTATGGACAATAGATTATTAAAATGAATTTGCATGTTCACAGATTAGTAATTAAATGTGTAATAGTTTTAATATTCAAATTCAGGAGAATTGTTGGGTTTATTAAATATCGTATTTTTTCAACTTTTACTATTATTAGGAGGAGAAAACATGTGAACGGTGGACCGACTAAAAATGGTTTTTGTATTGGTTGGGGGCCACATAATTGAAAGCTTTCATCAATGTCAAAAAGAGGAACTGGTGGGGTTTACGGATCGACTTTCTTTTACCGATTTTATGATTTTGTCTTGATTAATTTAGATTAATTCGTATTATACATTTGATTTTTAACTAATCTGTATTGACGCGTATATAATTTTGGTAGGTGAGTTTTTTAATAGGAATTTTTTGTATATACAAGAATTCGATCATAAATCTTACTTAAACGATATCAAACTGCTTGTCACTTGAATCAATCCCATTAATATATGATAAATACTTTTGTTAATGTGGTGTTTTTATTTTGGTAGGACGAGGACCTGTAAATCAAAATGATGCTGGTGCTGACAGGATATCATTGACTGGACTTACCCTCTTCTTCCTAGTCTTTATCTCTGTAGCACTGTATTGAAGCGATATCCATTGGGATAGGTTGAGGGGGTATTAGTTTTAGAGTATTCGTGTAATGTAATTGATAAACTACGAATTTGAGATATTTTAAACATTGATGGTAAATTAGAACAGGATGTGTTCTTCCAGAGATTTGTACTGTTTGTATATGTAATTTTCTTTTTCGATTAAATACTTGTTTCTGTTGTTTAATTTAATGAATTTTGTTTTGATGTAAAAAAATAAGAATACAGATGATAGGCCGGTCAAACATAATTGAAGGAATACCTAAAATGGGTTCCGAACTAACATGAGGACTGTAAAGTTTTCAAACCAAACCAAATATTCTACATTACGATAGGGACGAATAATTTTATGTTAAGAGGTAAATTTTAATTTAGATGATGAATTTGAATTATAAAATTTTATAGGCGAATACAGATTTTCAATAAAAATATATGATAATTTCGAATTTTCAGGGACGACTGCCCTTGTGGATATTCAGCAAAACAAAATAAATACGCATAACTTGGTTAAGAGATTCTTATTATTCTTTGAGAATTGATATTTGAGTATTACGTATATAGAGATATAAGTTTTTTTTATAAAATGGTTAAGAGTTTTTAAATAGATATTACATTATATATATTTATAAAAAAAAATATTCTAATTAATAATTTATTAAAATATAATTTAAAATTTTAATTAATTTAAAAATAAAAATAATGATTAATTTGATAAAGTTTTTAAAAAATAAGAGTAAACTACAAGTTTAATACTTAAACTATCAGTTTTTGTCCGTTTTAATGTTCAAACTTTCATTTTTTTAAAACCATACATAAAGTTTAGTTTTTGTTTCATTTAGTGTTCGCCGGTAAAATCTTTAGTTTTTGTTTCGCTTTAACACTCCCATTCAAAATTATGCCGGGTGTGAATTTGTTTCATCTGTTGATTCCCTTTTTAAATAAATTAGCCATCCATATGAGCTTAAATGTCTCTTCAATTGGAAAAGTTCAGTTGTTGCCTGAATTGTTAGTCGTAAAATACTGTTCTTCTTGAAGCTACATTCTGATTTCTGATAAGTTTTATTATCCATTATCACTGCAACTCCTGGATAGTTGATCAAACCTTGTTGGTTATCACATTGCTTAGCATGTGTCTTGAAGATAGACACAGTGAGAGTCTCTCTGCTATTACTTTTTATCAATTGTGATGAATCTCATTTTCGGGGTTCCTTATTTCTCCCACAGATTGGCACCAAACAGTGGCGATATTATGATTTTGGTCCCAAAGTGGTCCCTCCACTCATATGTCTTCCTGGAACTGCGGGGACAACAGATGTCTACTACAAACAGATCATGTCCTTTTTTTCCTTTTGTTTTAGTTCTTGGAAGAAGTCCTCTGGGAGCAAAAAGAGGCTGTTTCATCTCTCCAAAACTACAAGAAAATGGAAGGAAACTTCCACAGGCTATATCTTTTGTTCTTTTATTGCTTGATATAGTGGATATTTCTATTTGTTTTCAGAGGTATCTCATAGCGAGTTATGAATCTTATCATTTTAATAAGTAGACATCCTGATTTCCTTTAGACAGAGGCAGCCTGAAACTTCCTCATTTCATTTATTGGTCGGCGGAATTTCATTTTTCTTTTGTGGCTTATTACCAAATGGTATTTACTATTATACTGTTGTGAAGAATGTTCACTTCTCATAAAACCTAATAATTTAAATTTCACATATGTTCAGGGGTATCGGGTGATTTCCGTTGATATTCTCTGTGTTTGGAATCATCAAGAGTGGATTCAGAGTTTTGAAAAGTTCTTGGATGCCATCGATGTTCATCATGTGAGAACTTAATTTTTTTGTGGCCTATGCTTCATTTCTTCTCTTATTTGCCCTTTCAGTGTATATTTCATATTTATTATTCCTATTATATGTTTCTGGAACAAAGAATAGGTTGCCTGCTTAAAGTGAAACAACATTTATTGTATCTCTGTAATATTAAGTAGACTACATGGGTCTACAATGGAGAGATCTTATTCTAATTTGCTGGCTCAACTTTTGTGGTTATGGTAGCCGTAGTTTATCTGGAATTGTAAGACTTGCTTAATGGATCGAGTGTCATGTCTTTGACAGATACATCTGTATGGTACATCCCTCGGAGGCTTCCTAGCACAACTTTTTGCTCAACATCGTCCTAGACGTGTTAAATCCTTAATTCTATCGAATACATTTTTGGAGACACTCACTTTTGCAGCAGCAATGCCTTGGGCACCCATGTATGTTTTACATTTCTTGTTATAAACTCTAGGCTATTATAAACTTGCTTCTTTTCTTAGATTATCCATATTAGAAACTCATTTACTTAAGATTTCCGTTGTAGTGGGCTGTAAATTCACCCAAATTTTGAAATCAAATAACCACATGCATGAAGTTTTTGGGTGGAATCGTGTTGATCAAAATTTACTTGCAATGAGTCGATTTCCTGTAAGTTATCTATTTGCTTGTATGCTTGCATTTCTTGGATGAAAAAGTATATTCGCTCTGCTTTCGCATATATTGCCATGTATAGTTTCTGGGATATTAAATTTAATCAAAACCTTTAAACCCTACCATTTTATGTAGTTCCTGCAATTTTTTCTTGGTTTTAATCCTTGCATGATCTTTGTTAATAGTACATATTGTGTGTTAAGTAAGAAAGTGTTCTTAAAATGAACTTCCCACATGCAGTGTTGGTTGGGCACCCTCTTTTTTGTTGAAACGATACGTCTTAACAGGAATCCTTGATGGCCCACATGAACCTTTAATTGCTGATTCTGTGGACTTTGTTGTTTCAAAGGTAAATTTCATGAAACACCCACACCATTTTTCTTTATTGGATTTTAGTTATTATCATTCTGTATGAAGCACTCTATATCTTGCTCTTTCAAATGCAAAACAATCTGCTGTAAGAAAGAGTTTGCTTTCTTTATCTTAGGTCATATGTGAATCATTTCAGGTTGACTTTGACGGTTGACGATGCTTCAGTTAAACCGCTTCTACTTTCAGATTCGTAAATTACTAAAATGGATGTAAGTTGTCTGAAAATTGCTTTGTACAGGCGTTGCACAAGAAAACATAGAGAAGATGGTTTATCTTTGTAGGTTGTCGATTCTGTTATTTATGACTAAAAAAGTTTTTGTTCGTTTTTCCTATGTTTAGACATCTTTAGTTATTTTGTTGTTTAAAGTGCCAAATTTCCTTGACATGGCCCAGACGAACGACTACTCATCTATTCCTCGAGAACTCAAAGATCAGCTAGGTGAGAGGTACCCGGAAGCAAGGCGAGCTTATCTGAAAACAGGAGGTGATTTCCCCTTTCTTTCCCGCCCGGATGAAGTAAACCTGCACCTTCAGGTGTATGAAGTTGATTATATATGAAAGGCTTAACTCATACATGATTGGGCGGTTGTTATATCGAGAACACTGTTATTTCATCTGGTGTCTGAATCATGGCAGCTGCACCTAAGACGCGTTGGATTAGAAGCTCACCCGGAGTTGGTCCAAAGTATCCCAAAAGACAGCACTGCTGGGAGCCACAGCAAAGAAAATGATAAGAAGGATGATGATGATGGACCGAAAGACAACGGGGGCAACCTTGAAAGTAATTCCGAAGAAAGCCAATCATCTCCGGCTCCAGAAAGTTCAGAATTTCAGGGCCTAGATTATCAGCTACTCAACAATGCCGGAACTCATCAAGAAAACTCGTTTTGACGCATTCCGCTATGTTGATGAATCGACACAGTGCAGCCACTCATATCCTTCTTTAGTTGATTTGGGAGTTATTTATTGCCTCTTTGCTTCCCCCTTTGTGTGGGTTCATTGTACATTTCTTCTAGTAATGCTTGAAATTCGGACAACTGGTGTAAATAGAGCATACATTAGCAGTTTCTTTTCGATGTTTGTCCATATACAAACATTGTTGCAAACAACCCTAGTTTTCCTTTGACAATGTTGTACCTGTTTCATTACTTCAATGTTCCTTTATTGTTGAATCTCAGAGATCAAATTTTGTTCAACTCACTTTGTAAATAATGCAGCATCTGAAGAACATATGAAGCATGCAAGTAGAGCATTTGGGTAAAATACATACATCCAAAGTCGCACAATTATTAGGTAGGTTAAAAACGTTGTTTTTTTTTTAAAAAAAAAATCAAATTTCCATATTCTATTATTTTTTTATTTGTTGCAGTAATAATTGCAACAAAATGATTGAACGTTCATTATCAAATGATTGAGAGTATTTAGAACAAATATTACTTTATAATCACCTTAACTTAATAAAAAAATCAAAGCTTTACAATGATTAATTCAAATCGACCCGTATTGCACAACTAATTTTAGTGAGTAGATCTTCCAGTGAAATTTTTTTATATACACAAAGACTCAAACTCAAAATCTACTTAAACAATATTAAGGCAATATATTACATTAATTTAATCTTAATTCAAAACAAGTCAATAAATTCAAATATTCATATCTAAAATTATATTAATTCAAATATTCACACTTTAATGTGAGAATCAAACACAAAGTGTAGTCGAAAGTGAAGCCAATACCAAAATAACATTGCCACAACAATAAAATTCAGTAGAAAGTGAAGCAAAGCATTAGCTATGTCAAATTGCAATGTTTAATCCGGAGAATCGAGATTATACCGTAACATGTTTTTGTAGTAATTGTCTAAAGCTCTCTGCATTAGCTACCCCCTTCAGCCACAGACACATCATATAATACGTGACCAATGAGCTTAAAACTAAAGGAAAACATAAGCTCTAAAAGATGGCAACAGGCAAGCATACAAAACTACATATGTGAGAAAAGGCAATGCCCTCTAACACAGGATCTAGTCGGTGTGTTCTGACTTAGGCCCTTCGCTTCCCTTGAGTGCGGTAACTCTCATCTTCAAAATCAGTTGATCCTTTCATCCTTGCACAGTGCTGGCTGCGTGAGGGCCCTCCCCCGTCTCTTGCATCCGGCATCACCCTCCCTTTCGACTGAGAATGCTCAGTAGAGGGAAGTGCCCATCCTCTCTGACCTGCTGCCTGTTCTGTCCACTGCTGTTAGCCCCTGAGACAATAGTTGCAGCAAAATATATGATTCGAGGTTATAGGATGGGAAAAAAAGCATTGCCACAACATTATTCAGGCCGTTACACCAACTATATATTTGTAAAGTGAAAAACTGAGATAATAAAAAAAACTGAATGAAGAAACGGGGGAACCAGTCTTGCCTTTTTTCCCTTATTCCGTGATGCAAAATTACAAGGGAAAAGCATTGTAGTAAGACATATTACCTATGGTATCATGACCAATAAAACTCTCAGACCAACCAGGCAAATGCTTTTGGGCTTTTCCATTCCAAGTTTCTTCAAAACCAGTAAGTTCATCTGGAAAATTCACCAATTCAGAAACCAGTTAATCTACTTCTATCAACAAATATACAACAGCACTCTGTTGTATGTAACACTAACTTGCCTTCATTCAAATTATGCAAGGTTTGCATTGTATCCACCCTACCATCTGAATTCAGCTTTCTCATGACAGAATGACCCTACAAAAATGTTCTCATCATAATCCAAGGTACAAAAGACTATAAATTTAAATTTGTTCAGAGAAACAAAAAGATGTTGCAAGATACCTTGTCGTGAAGTCCCCTAGAAACCCGGTGGCTTGCTTGACCTGAGGCTATGTCAGCTTCTTTGCTTTCTTCAAAGGAAATCTGTTGCGGAAGAGAAAAATGTAAGACGTATAAGAAAAGGGTTTACAAATGAACATTCTTTAAACTTCAGAAGAACTTACTCCGTCACTTCCAGTTTTCCTCGTTTTGGATGAAGTATAGTAAGCTCCATTAGCACCACCATAAGTGACAGTGGAGCTCTGAAATGTGAAGCTATGAGTTTGAGGCTGTTGCTGTTGTCTATGATATGAACTATTGTAAGCATTCATGGACTGCAAAGGCCGGTTCCTTCTTACAGATTGTTCGGCTTCATCATCTGGAACCTCAACATAAGGTTTGGCTTCTGACCGACCATGCTTCCTTGGATTTCCTTTCATTCCGCTATCTGGTTCCTCCTTTTCATCATCAGAGTTTAGTTCTTCAATAATTGGACCCCTTGGTCTCTTCGGCTCGGGAGCCTGATGCTCAATAAACCCAGTTGGATGCATATCCATAAAAGGACTTTGGTCGGGGCCAAATAAGCTCGACTCCAACATGCCTCCGAAAGGGCGAGTGAAAAAAGGGTCATCGAAAGGGTCCCTTCCACCAAAGAAGCCGGAGAGTAAACTTCTTGGACCACCAAAGCCCCCAAAGGGATCACCACCAAAACTAAAGAAAGGATCTCTTCCACCTCTGCCTCCTTGCATTTTCTGGAACCCTCTAAACTCTGAAAAAGGAAAAATAAATATGAATTTCAAAGAAAGAACACAAGATTCCAAATCACTCATATAACATAGCATAAATCAAGCGAACGAGTATCAAATAGAGCAACACAATCAATTCAGTCCAAATTATTGAATTTCACATTTATTTAAGGAAAATACCCAAACAAATCCACCGCGACCGTATCACAATTCAGAAGCAAAAATCAATCTATACCCTAAAACCTAAATGTTGGAGGATCATATCAGAAAAATAAAAATCAAATATAATAAATGACTTCAAAAAGGAACAATTCTGTAACGAACAATCGCAAAAAATAAGAAGTAATCAATGAACGGTTAGAACGTGGTCATCGAAACACATCCACTAAATTTAAATCAAAATCGAAACCTGAAAATGGATAACGAATGAGAGAACCTTGGATATAGAGAGGAGATTAAAGTAAATTTGGGACGATCGAAACCCTAATTGCTTTGATTTTGCTGGGAATGAAAGTTTGGAGGCATTTTATGGGATGATGAGACCGCCTAATTTGTAACAAATAGATTCTGCTACGTGTGGGAGTCTTCATATTCGCACGTGTAAAGCCAAAGTTGTACATTTATTTTTGATGAAGTAACATTTAATCCTTGAACTTAATTTTTTTTAATTTAATCTCAAATTTGATAAATTTTCTCAAATGGGTCCCTTTGAACCATATTAATGTGGAAAAGTTTCCCAAATCGATCCTTGAATTTAGATTTCATCACACATTCTAGTATTTAATAAAATCCATGTCTAGGGATCAAGTTGAAAAAAACTTCCAAATTTAGACATTAATATGAATACAAAAAGTTCCCCGTTGTGGCTTCCTTGCAAAATCAAATGCCCCCGCCAGGGTCGAGAATGCTGCCGTCCTCGATGTATTTTCAGTTGCTGTTGGTGTCTTCGATGCCGTTTTGATCATGTAGGGCCACCGGTCGGATAAATAGGCCGATTCGATTCGGACTTTTAGACATTCATCTGAACTAATAAGCTGAAGCTACGTGAATTAGATAAATTTGAGATGTTCAGAATACACTGGTTTTTTCTAAATCACAATCCATAGGCCGATTCTCTCACTAAACATTACAATCAACATTTTCTACACTCAAAAGGCTAACTAATGGTGAAAGTAAACGGGGTAAAAACCCGAGCCGGACATGAACATTCCAGTAATTGTGAGAAGTCGATAAGCTTACACAAAACAACAACAACGGCAACAACTACGGTGAGAACGATCTTCGACGGTGCTTTCGATATCAAACCTTGGAATGTTTAGATTAGGCTCCATGCACAGATGCATTTATGTCGGTGGGCTTTTTCTTTGAATCGGTAGGTGACCAAGTATCGGTGCGGAAGGATGAGGAGATGTTTAATTTGGGATCGGCACTGGAAATGGGAAAAATAGACACTGGCGTTGCCACTGATATGGTCGTTGCAGCTGATATGGTCATCGACTGTGGCTTCTGTTTCTTCAGATTCTGTTCGTGCTGGTTCCCGGCCAGAAAACTTCCCACCACAACCTGGTTCGGAGCAACAGAAAGTAAAAAGTTTAGAAGCCGTCTTCAACAGGGTTGTGGTAATTGTTCGGTTAAGACAAAGTTACGAAAATCTGGAAGAGACGGAAAAGAGAACTGGCAAAACCGAAGCTGAACCTGCACAGGGCCAGCAGCTACTAGGAGACCAGCGACTCCACCACCTACGACACGTCCATCCGGACTTGCTAATGAAACACTCATCCCACCGGATCTGCTTCTTGTTGCCCCGCTTTCATTGGGCATGAATGAACCGGACAAGGACAATATCTCAAAACGACCCTGCAAGAAATTTGAGAAGAGGTCGGATGTTTGCCGGTGAAGGATAAGATAACAATTGTTGATTAAGTGAAATTTCAGAAACACGAGGAGTTCATCATTCGTTCTTTGTGGTGTTAAGATTAAAACATAAACAAATTTGACATCACGGGAGACTTGAGCTTTCGAAACAAATGAACAAGTGTAAAGTCACAATCACAAAATGAGTATCCATGCTAGGATCGATATAGTTCAAAGGTGTCTAGAATTAAAGGGAAAGAGCTCATTACCTCATATGTCAATGTACCCCCGGAAGAATCGGGTTGCCGAAGAGTGACACTCGAGATGACCCCATTCGCAGAGAGAATACATATAGCTCGAGGCCCTTGTTGGGAGAATGATATAATCTTCATCGTGACGTCCTAAAATACCAAACAGACATCAGAATGGAACCAGCGATATTCTCAAACCATATTTTCCAGCAAGAAAATATAGATCTTTTGCATGCATAATGAATATAACATCGTGCAAGCTCGATGCTATCTTTTACGGCATACCTCGCCAGCATTAACAGTGATGATATGCGGCGTAAAATTAGCCCCGACAGAGCATGCAACCCATTCACCTACAATGAGAAAAAAGTTGTAAAAAAATTCTGCAACCGGATTGCTAGAGATCTTACCACACAGCGAATAGCAGAACGTATACGAAATTTTCCAAGAAACAATCACGAGCTACTCGTCCGTAAATTCTAATGAGAGCAGAAAGTATCAAAAGTTCACCACGCAGCTCAAATCCACTATCCAGCTAGACAACAATGATCATCCGGGAAAATTCATGAAGTTCAATATTCTTGAAAATAGTGTACTACGACACCTAGAAGTTGTGTCGTTCGCTAATGTAAACCGCATGACACTTGGTCTATTCGACTTGATTATCACACAATTATTCCAAGAAACCAACAACAAGAACTAATATCCAAGCTGAGCTTGTGATCCCACTTTCTCACATGTATGTCTAAATATATGTGGGATACGGATATTTCAAGAAAATCGAAGGGTCAACTATATAAAAATCAACTTTCTTCTCCCTGCATCTGACGGGAAGATCAAAATCACTTGGAAAGACTTGAACAAATGGTACGATATATCTCCCCCTACCAAGTGGCAACAAACACTCGATATCGATAAGATAGTGGATCATATATCAAAATAACCTAACAACCGCAATCACACTTATCGAAGGGATATCTCGACCCCACTTCGACCCTTCTACGCCTACACACACACCAAAGAGGCACTTTAAAAACAACACAAAGCGAATGGGTTTCTCACCTAAGTTCTCCAGCTCGTTCCTAGGCTTCGAAAACGACGTCGGAGACTTCACTTTCCCTCCCTTCCCGGCTGAGAAGTCGATGACCGAGGGCGGCGGCGCAGCTGTCGATATAGGCTTAGGAGAGAGCGCTTTAGTAATTGAACCGTCCGGCCCGTATTTTCTAGGCCTTCCCCTCTTCTTCTTCTCCGGCATCCCCGTCACCAAGACCGGCGGAGGCACTCCTGGTTGCGCCGCCTGTTGCCGCGACGGGGCGGATCCCGGAACCGGGTTCGGGTTTTTGGTCGAGTTTTCGGCCCTCGGAGCTATATGGTAAGCCGATGGAGCATCGGATCCTACCACTGTAACTCCGGCAGTAGCAGCACCAGCAGCAGTTGTTTCGAATTCTTTTGGCTCCATGGTTAAAACTTCAAGCTCTAATTTTTAGAAATATTATATTTTCCCCCTCAAAATTTTATCAAAATCTCATTTGGATTGTAAGCTCAACCAGCTAAAACAAGGTTTAAATTTTCCCAGGGAAAAAAAATCCACAAAACAAAACTAAAAACAGTACACCTTCAAAGTTCAAAACCAGGAAACGATTAAAAAAATATTATTTTGGAAGATAAAAATTACATTTCACAAGAAAATTTGAAGAAAAAAAATAACCTATCTCTGTTTTTTTCCCTTTTAATTTTCAGAAAATGATAAGAGATTTGTTGAGTTTTTGATAATTTAGCATTCCTAACTTTCTTTTGAAATCTGTCTGAATTTAAGAATATTAAAATAACGACAAGGAAATTATTTGATAACATTATGTTTATTTGTAATAATAATTATTTTATTAATTAACATATTGATATTTGCCCTTAGTTGGAATCTAGCCAATAAAAAAATTTGAAAGTGGGTAGTTTCTTTATTTAATTTTTAAAATTGAATTTTTTAAGAGACAGTGAATAGTGGGTATATATTATTAAATAATTATATTGAAAAACATACTTATTAATTAATTAATTTGTTTATCGAGTGAATGCCAAGTAAAATAAGGTTGCTAAAGTTTGAAGAAATTATTTAGAAAAATAAAAAAATAATATTGGGTGCGTTAAAGCAATAACACCATGCTATTTTAAGGGGTGTTTAAAGTAGGGTTAATTTATAGGAATAACGTCCATATATTCAAATGATATTTAAATAATTTTATTTATAAATATATCTAATTAAGAGAACGTCACGTTTATTATTTTTTATGATGTATTTTTATTTGTTTAATAAATTTTCCGAGTAAAATCTTTAACGATAATATTTTTTTTGGATAATATTAACGATAATATTATCTAAGACCAAAATAAATAAATAAATATTGGGTCAAAATAAAACAAAACAAAAGTTATGCAAGTTTCATTGGAAAGGAAATATCACATAACGTATTATCACCACAATATTGCCTTAATGGTGTATTTGGTTGGGGGAATGTAAGATTCTTATGGGAATAGAATCCACATTCCCCCGTTTGGTTGGATGGGAATGTCATTCCCGGTAATATTACATTACCAATAGTAGATTTTTGGGGTATATTACCGGGAATGTCATTACCTCCCTTTCTTTAGGTATTGTTGGATTACCGGCGTTTTGGACTAAAATGCCCTTAAAAAAATTCTTTCAAAAATATCTCATTGAATAATAAAAATTCTACGAAGATTAAATTACAAATTTATCCTTAAACTATTTTAGATTTACAAAAAAAATCTATAATTAAAATTTTATATGAAGTTCAGGGGTAAAATAAAATTTTACCCTTTCATTAAACCTTTTTATATTTTTAATTTTGTAAAAAAATTATATAAATTTTATGAATATAATTTTTTTAAAGAAAATATATAAATATTTTTCAACTTGTTAAAAACAAATATATAATAAGGACAATTTGATCAAATATACATTCCAATAATCTTTTATTCCTTTAACCAAACACGGTAATCTTATATTCCTGCTAAACTAACCAAACACAAAATACAACATTCACAGTAATCTTATTCCCTTATAATCTTTTATTCCCACTGATAATCTTATATTTCGTGAATTAAACGCTCCCTAAAAGTAACGTATTTCTTTATTTAAATAATAAAGTAGAAAAAAACTTGAAATTTCGGGGAAAAATATTTCCTAATTTTAAATTATTATATTCCCAATACAATTTGAAAAGGGAAACAACGAATAAGTAAAACCAGTGAAAATAAAAGGTCACAGTACAAAACAAAGTAAAAAAAAGTATAAATGCTTTTTTTAAATACGAGGTGAATATAATATAATATTTACTCAAACATTATTAATTATTTGATATAAAATGTTTAACTACATTTACATGTGTGCTATTTGAATTTAAAATCTCAGAAAATAATAAGATTTTTTTAACTATTGAAATCTAGTAGTCCGTACTGGAAATTGAAAGATAAATTTAAGATATATCATAAAAATAAAATTTAAGGAAATGATGCTAAATCTATTTATAGGATTACGGTGTTTATACTGTTATTGTTAGAATTAAGTATAAATACTGACGGTTTTGATAATGGTAAAATGTATCAATCATTATCAATTATCTTTTCATTTCTATTTGATCAATGAAGTTTAATTTTTTTAATTTGATCATTTAATTTTTGAGTTACACTTATTTCAATCGTTTTGATTTATTTTATTAACATTTTTCTATAATTTGACATATTTTATTAATTTTATTATCATCTAAAATTATAACAAAAAATAAAATAACATTAAATCATAATTCTTAAAACCTTAAACCCAAATCATAAACCCTAAAATCGTATCACAGCCCTCAAATTACAGCCCCCCACCCCACTCGGTGGCTCATCAACAGTCTCACCTCAAATCGTAACGCCAACTAACCATAAATCACAACTCCTTCACACTCTCACCCTTGATACTGTCACCCTCAAACCATTTTTCCCCCTTGCTAAGTCATCCTTCCACCAAAAGACCTATCAAAAAACCGTCACACCAAGGTCGATGGTTGTTGTCATATGCATCGTCATCTCCCCTTAACCCACTATTTATGAACTTTTTGTTGTCAGTCGTTGGTACTGTTGACACCTCGAATAAGACATTTGCCTAGTTTTTCCTTATGCTCAATTGTCGACTAGCTTGCCTCTAAAAAATGTTAGAGCAAATGTAATATAGAGATATGTTGTCTTCAATCTCAATATCCCTCGACGCTCGAGTGCTTTCACCTGTTGAACCCACACACATCTCAACGCTTCATGCTGCTATAACAGCTCATCTTTGCTCTTGCAATAGCTTAGGTTTTGTGAGTGGTATGGGTTGAGGATTGCAAGAGTTTGAAGAATTCGACTTATGGCTTAGGTTAAGTGAGAGTTCCACCGATGAGAGTAAAGGTTAAGGTTTGAGGTATATCGATGGAAGATTAAGGATTGACGTTTATGGATTAGGGTTTAAATTTGAAATTAGGGTATTTTATTTTATTTTAAATCCTATGTAGAATTAAATACTAATAAAGTATGTCATGTTAAAGGAAAATACTAATAGAATTATCTATGTCATCATAGAATGGTTACAACAAGAATAATTTAAAAGTCAAGTGATTAAATTAAAAATATTTAAACTTCAATGAACAAAATAATAGTAAGAAGATAGTTGAGTGATGTAATTTATCCTTTTATAAAGGGACTCGTCTTAAAAAGGGTAAATTATACCCATGACCATTTAACTATAGACACATTATAGTTTTATCATCGATATTTTAGTTTTGTTAAATAGACCATTTAACTGCTTAAATGATCTTAATCAAACTATTTATTGTTAACATTTGATGGAGAATTGGTCTAACCGTTAACATAATTGGTGTAATTTTATACTTGATCATTATTATTTACATATTTTATTAATTTAGTTATGATTCAAATATAACTTTTATATTAATATTTAAATTAAATTCAGCTCATCTTTTGCAATAAAGAGAGGCGGGAGAGGGAGAGAGTATTAACACTTTTATTTTGAAAAATATTATAAAGTGTTTATTAAAAATTGAAGTAATTTTTTTATTAAGTTAAAGTGATTATATAAAAGTAATATTTATTTTAAATACTCTCAATCATTTGATAATGAATGTTTAATCACCTTGTTGCAGCCGCCGATACTCGAACCCGTGACCTCTAGGAACAATAACGATTCCGTTAACTACTGAGATAAAATTGTTCGAACTAAAAATTGAAATAATTATAATTTAATAAATCCTATTAATTTTATATTGTAACCATGGATGGACCACAATCCAAACAACTAGTGGAATGATGAAAATTTCAAAATTTTCTAAATAAAATATAATAGCATTTTATATAAATAGTATATATGTTATCTAGTTAAATAATTTTTTATTAATACTTAATTAAACTCAACCTATCTCTTCGATAATGGAAGATGAGAGTAATTTATTATTTAATAACCATAATTATTTATATTGTCATTATGGGTGCAGAACAATCCAAGAGGAAAACGAGAATAAACTTTTTTATAAATAAAAATTATATGTTTGTAGATATTATCTATGTTCTCTAATTCAATTTCCCCCTAAATATTGGATTAACTTCAACATGCATCATTTAATTAGAGATGAAAAAAAATCATATTTAAAAATTTTCAAATTAATTACTTTTAATGAAATTAAAATTTTGAGTTGAATTTAATCATATTTAAATTTAAAGTGAAAATAAATACAAGAACACCTTCAAATCAATTTTATTATTATAATATTTTGTTAAATTCGAATAATTTTTTCGGTAGTATCTTTACTTTTTTATTAGTCTATAGTGACTTTGAAAATAGTATATATTCGAAAAACACTCAATCATTTGATAATAAGTATTAATATATTTTTTGTAGATATCATGCCCGAAGCTAATACCTTAAGAGATAACAATTATTTTTTAACTACAAAAATCGCTTGATTCTTGTAGCCAGAGATGGATCGAGGGACAGGGTGGAAGCATAATCACCCTTGAAAAATTTAAATTCTCTTATATTTTAATTTTTTTTCTCTGTATTTTTATTGATTATTTATTTAAGCCCTCTAAAATTTTATAAATTTATTATTTTCAAAAATTTTATAAATTCGTCACTTTTTAACATAAATTCACCGCTTGGAACATACAATTTTTATTGATTTTACAAAGGTTATTTTTATTAATTAAAATTCATATTTTAATTATTAATATATGTATAATCTAATTTAAAATAACCTTTTTAATTATTATTCGGTCACTTCGATAAAGGAAGATGAGAGAGAAAATAATAATAATAACAACTTTTTTCCAAAATATTATAAAATGTTTATTGGAAAATGGAAGCGTTTTTATTTAATAAACCTAATTACTTTTATATTCTAATCACGGATGGACCACAAACACTGACCCATTAAAAATGCAATTAATTTCAGATATAAAATATTATAATAAAATTTGGAAAAAATATTAAAATGATAATTATATTAGTTATCAATTAATTTAATAAATTTTTATAATATTAGTTTAAAATTAATAATTAAATGTAAATAATTATATTAATTGCTATTAAAAAATAATTTAAGATGAGAACAAACGAAGCCATATTAATTAATTAATCTTAATTTTTTTAAATGTTGTTGATGAGCTCGATGAAAATTAAGTCATTAACCCCATAACTTTTTTTCTTTATTTTAATTATTAATAACGACAAATATTATTATAATTACTACTAGAATACAGTTGTGGAATTCACAACCATCTCTAATTAATTTATTTTTTTGTCAGTAAAAAGCATTATTTATTTATTTATTTTCGTTTTCTAACTCATTGGATGGGAAAAATAAGAACAGATAATTAAGAATCTTTTCATTAAAAAACACTTGGGGCTCATGCTGAAAGATAATAAAACCGTATTTTATGTATTTGTAAGTAATTATTTATTATTTTTATATTATTTTTTCTCAGAAAAGGTTAATTGCCGGCATTCCAATAAAGTTAAGTTGAGAGAACATGGTATATATATATATATATATATATATATATAAGATCGTTATTCATCTAAATGATAATCAATAATTAATTGGTTTAGTGGGATACGACATTAGATTTTTTAAGTAAGATAAGGGGTTTGAATCCTAACGATTGTAAATGAAGTAAATTGGGTTGGAATGATTGTCTTTGCTTCTACAATACCGAATTTAAATTAGTCGATCAATAAATTATATATTGGTGGTTATACAAAAAAAGTCATCTAAATAAGAGAAAATAATTTATGATGGTTTATTTTTCCTATTTAGACTGATAATTTTAAAAGTAATAGTCGATTTGAAATGAGCAACCTCAATGATAAATAAATTGTTATTATTCCTTAAGGTCTCAGTTTCAAGCACAAGAACGTCAGAGTGTGAGCGTTTAATATCAAATAGTTGAAAGTTATCTTCTATTTACTCCAAATTAATAAAAAAAATTAATATTCGATAATAACGATAATCTTGAAATATAATAAGAAAATTTTTAGTGTAAAACCTCGATTTTTAATCTAAAATCTTGATTTTTTTTCATTTGAGATAATTAATATTTTTATATTCCCCATTGACATATGAGGGTGTTGATAGAAAAACTAATGACATTAGTTACTAATAGGTAAACTTACAGGTTATCATTGGATATATCTAATTTATCATACTGCTCGTTGGACAACAAAATAACAATTTATAAATACATGATGCCCAGAAGTCACACGAACTAATGCATCAGAGTTCGGAATATCGAATGAACATTGAAAGTCAAGAAGAGTTGGGAATCGAGTAATCGACATTTTTGATAAACGGTTGTGATCTATCCACGTCAGTAATACATCTCCATTCTTTATACAATTCAGACGTAGTCGTGGAGGCAAGCCTTGTGAAATTATTTTAGTAGATTTAAATTATCTTTATAATAAACAATTGTTTTTTAATTGCTGGATTACACGTTTCGAACATTCATGTGATGCCCCATGACCCGCTGTCTATACCACAACAGTCCCCAACCTACATCTTGGGCCCACTGTCTGCAAATCAGGTGCAGCGTCGTCATAAAACACGTTCTCCGGTTTAGCTCCACCGTGTCGTCCATCGGTTCCGGACTTCCACGGCTCTTCCACCCTGAAGAAGAAGAAGAAAAACACGTGAAAAGGGAGCCCCAGGAGCTCACAATCCTACGCAATTCGACCCTAGTGACACAGCAACAACACATTGTTTTGTTTCATGCTTTTGTTGCTCAAATATGTTTATAGGAAGATTACACCTTTGATTTTCAGACAATGGTTAGATTTTGTTATAATTTGTTCTTTTTAAACCCTTAATCTACGATGCCGGCTTAACGCAGTTGGCGTCATAAACACATGGTTAGTTTGGTGGATGTGGGGAAGAATCTGCAATTATGATACTTAAACAGTTAAAACTATACTTCTGGGACTAAAACTTAATTTATCCTTCCTTATATCACAGGGAACCCTCTTAACTCAGATAATGTTGCATCAAAATGCCGATAGATTTTAAGCCAACAAGCATAACAAGTAAATAGCATTACATTTATATGGCTAAAATGAAAATTCAATAGTAGACACATTCATAATTCACTTGATCCATTTTGATAATGAAATCAAATTAAGCGGCAACAATACAGTCCCGATCATTCCCAACCCCGATATAACACTGGCAAGAACATTAAAACAGCCCACAACTTTCCACTGACCCTAACCCTAGTAGAAACCCCGGAAAGACAGAGAAGGTAAATTCATTCAATAACACGACTTGAGCAAACTTGCCTCTGTTCCTTTCAGAACCGCTCCACCTTATCGGCTTTCACGACAGGATTTGCCTTGGCAATGGCATCTCGTCCGGCACCCTTGAAATCAAAGGTGCACTCATGTTTTTCCGGGTAACGGTGCTCGCCACAGAAGGTACTCCCACATCTGCACTTGAACCCAGTCAATCCAACCTTCTTTCTGCATATAAAGCATCTGTTTGCCAGCTTTGGCTCAGTCGGTTCATCAGAAGCAACAACAACAACAGTAGCTTGTTGCTCAACTGCCGTCGAGAAGGAGGCCACGTGAGAATGAGATGGCTCCTCTACACGCTTAAATGCCTCCACAACCACATCGTCCAGCTTTGCTTCGACACCGAGGGATTTCTCCATGGCAGCTTTCGCCTTTGCAGCTTGCTCCTCCCCAGCCCGGAGGTTTCTATAACACTTGGAGCAGAGGTTCATATTCGATGCTAAGCCAAAAAACCCACAGCCGTTGGCACAAAGCTTCGGCTCAGATGGAGGGAAGCTGGTTCCTTCATTCTGTTCAGAACCCATGGTTTCTTTTCTTCTCTTTTCTTTTCTCTCTTTCTTCTGTGCACGTTTGCTTTGGTTTTCTAAAGTGAAAGATGAGAAAAACTGAAAAACAAGACAAGAGCTTACTTCTTATTGATTCTCACAAAGTTATATTACTCCAACGAGCTTAGGCTGACCATTAATACAAACACAAATATTCGATTATTTTCCTGATAGCTTGATTAGCTCAAAGCTCGAGCTCGAGAATGAGCCGAACAGAGACGTTTACTATTAAGTTTAAACCAAGTTTAAAGTAAATAAATAGAAAGATGTGTAATTTCGTCTATCAAACGCTAATTTAAACGAAACCCCCCTTCAATAATCTGAGATTTCCTGAAGAAAAATCTAGGCAAAATTCCAATCGATCTCCTAAATTAACACGTAAAAAGGCCTATTTAATATCAGCGGTCCATCGGAATAATGGAACAGCCACCGGTAATTACGAGTCAAAAAATAATTTAAAAGGGCGAAAACCCTAAAATTTCTTCAATCGACGAACATGAAACCTAGAAAAGAACAATAAAAGTTGAATCCCTAAATAAAACCCGTAAAACATACCTCGTTAATTCGATAATCGGAGATTATTTGCTTCTCGTCGTAATATTGTTTAGGCCGGCGTCGTACGATGAGAAAGACAACTCAGGAAATTCGAAGACGATGATAAGCTTTATTATCTGAGAGTCATAAATATGATGGAAGGAGAAAAAAAAATACAGAATTAAGGAGTTGAAAATTTATTTACTGAAAAAAAATTCTTTTTTTTATTTGGGTGGAAGCCAGGAAAGCAAAACCAAACTCGGAAAATTAAAAAGTAAAAGCCGAACCCAACCGGAGTCCTCTGGTTTGGTTTTTAACATATTATTATTTTAAAATCATTATTATTATTAGTTTGAAATTATTATCACAATCAATAGAAAACGGTACATGAAGGATGGTAGGAGAAACAAAATTTCATTTTCAAATATATTTTAAAAATAAATTATGTACTATTTAACTTCTAGGAAATAATCGTTTGTTGAAAAAGATAAATTTAATGATTCTTAAGTCCTTACTTTCGAGAAATTAATAAAATTTTCAATTTTTTTATATAATGTGATTTTTAAATTTAAAAAATAATTAACACCATTATTTCATTGACGAAAACTGTTATTAATTGTTACAGTATTAATATGATGTTCTACGATATTGATATAATAATTTTTATGTAATAATAAGGTATGGTTTTAGGACTAAATATAATTTATCACTAAAAGTTAACAAAATTATTAAATTATTTAAAGATGTTTTTATAAATTTTGAAGTGTCATAAATATTAGATATATTATATGTCACGTAAAAGTTATTCATACAAAAAACATAAAATATAAAAAAAATATTGGACTAGAAATTATTTACACAATAAATTATTTAACGTTACATTATATATTTTTAACATTTTTTGGAAACAAAAACGTTAAATGCCCTGCTAGTGCCCGAAACCATCTTAATAATTTTAATGATAAACTATATATTTAGTACCTAAACTATCAATTTTAGTACTTAAACTTTTAATTTTTCAAAATCATACCTAACATTTAGTTTTTGTTTCATTTTAGTCACCGTTGTTAAAAACTTAACGTGTTTAGTACCTAAACTATCAATTTTTATCCATTTTAGTACCTAAACTTTCAATTTTTTTCAAGACTTAAAGTTAAATTTTGAATGAGTACTAAAATGAAATAAAAACTAAACTTTAGATATTGTTTTGAACAAATTAAAATTTTAGATACTAAAACGGACCAATTTTGATATTTTAAATACTAAATGCATAATTTACCATATTTTTTATTATTCTAACTAATTCTCACAAATAGAACCTGCACTCACGTCCATAACTATTTAAAAAAATATATATGATAAACAATATCCGTTTCAGATTATTTGAGTTTGACTTTAGAGAATTCAGCTCCATGATGCACTTGGGTTTTTTAATCCTTCCAGGATCCAATGGTAGGTGAGTTTGCAAACTATATATAAAGGATACATGTAATGTCTAACAGGAAGATAATTAACAATGTCTTTTTCATTGAATTCATGGAGCTTTGGGTTTGTTCTTATGGCTCTAACAGCACTGGCAATCATCGGCAAACCTTGTTTAGCTGCATACCGGCCGAGCTCGTGGGCACTGGCTCATGCCACCTTTTACGGGGGCGAAACCGCCTCCGAGACTATGGGTGAGTATACTTCATACACATTAATATTTAGATAAGAGTATGCGAATATATAATGTTTCGTGGTAGTTAATGGTGTTTTTTCTTTCCTACAGGAGGAGCTTGTGGTTATGGGAATTTGTTCAGCAGTGGTTATGGCACGGACACGGCTGCACTGAGCACGACGTTGTTCAACAACGGATTCGCCTGCGGGACTTGTTATCAGATAAAGTGTGTGCAGTCCAAGTGGTGCTACCCCACGGTCAAATTCACCACCGTCACGGCGACCAACCTTTGCCTTCCGAATTGGGCCAAGGACTCCAACAACGGTGGGTGGTGCAACCCTCCTCGAGTCCACTTTGACATGTCGAAGCCCGCTTTCATGAAAATCGCTCAGTGGAAGGCCGGCATTGTCCCTGTCATGTACCAAAGGTATGTTTCGAATAGCGATCATTAAAGTGAACGTTACGATCGTTGTTTTGTGATTAATGGATTCGAATTTCTCTCGCAGGGTGCCGTGTGTAACGAAAGGGGGGCTTCGATTTAAGTTCCAAGGGAATGGGTACTGGTTGTTGGTGTATGTGATGAACGTAGGTGCAGGCGGCGACATTGCGAAAATGTGGGTTAAAGGAAGCAAAACAAGGTGGATTAGCATGAGCCATAACTGAGGAGCTTCATATCAAGCATTTGCAACTCTTAGAGGCCAATATCTCTCTTTCAAGATCACTTCATACACAACCAAGGAGACTATCATATGCTGGAATGTTGTACCTGCAAATTGGAATCTAGGCCTGACTTACAGCACAGGTGTGAACTTCCATTAATCCGAAATAAAGATCCGATTTTCGATCTAGCTCGACCTATGAACACTTTCATTTCGCATTACCCTTTTCTAGTTCTCTTTTCCTTTGAGAACTTCTGTTTGTACTTTTTAGAGCCTAGGCAAACCATGTGCATCTTCATGGTTCAATCCAGTGTGAATAACGGCCAAGAGAATTATGATTATCTGAGAGCCGTCGATTAAAACAAGTGTATATATTTGGACTTTTTTTCAATGATCATCCGGTTCCAACTGGTATTCAAGGCCCTAAAGATTTAATTTTTCACAAGCTTTTGGTCCATCAAGCTATGGGCTAAGTCTAAATCAGCTAGTTAATTGGCAATGGGTTCCGAGAAACATGGAGGAAGCTTGCCTGAACCAGAGGCAAAAACAACCCGTACAAGAGTTTTTGCCTGTAATTTGGATTGAAATCTCGATTCTCTTTTGATTCACATTTTTTGTAGTAACATAGAATTTCAGTGATCAAATTGTTTGGAAAACAAAAATGTCAGCCATTGCTTCTTCTTCTTCATTGCCTTCTTTTGTGTGTGAATCGAAGGAAGAAGAAGCAGTGAAAGAAAGACAACAGCAAAAGCAAGAGGTAATCAAAGAGTGCACGTACAAGACTAAGGCCATCCAGTTCTTAGGTCGTACTACGCCTATTATTCTCCAAAACGACAATGGACCTTGCCCACTCCTCGCCATCTGTAACTCTCCACCCCCTGTGTTTCCATTTCTGGGTTTTAAATTTCGATTCATATCCTTATCATTGTATTGATTTGAATTATGAAGACGATCGATTCTCTAATTGTTCAATGTTATAACAGGCAATGTCCTACTTTTAAGCAACAATATGAACCTGAGTTCCGATACAGCCGAAGTTTCGCAGGAGAAACTACTTTCATTGGTGGCTGAGCGCCTCATTGATTCGAACAGTAATGTCGACGTAATTTCTTCCTTTTTTTTTCATGCTTAGCCTCGTTTTCTTGTTGCTCTGGGATAGTTTGTTTGATAGTGATGGATCATGAATCCTTTCTTTCTTTGGCAATGTAGAATAAAGATGTCGGATATGTCGAAAATCAGCTGCGGAATATTGCAGATGCGATAGATTTACTCCCTCGTCTTGCAACCGGGATTGATGTAAATATCAAGTTCAGGAGGTTAGCCTTCTCATTTCTCTCTCTTAATGTTTTGACGAATCGGTTGCGGTTCCGTATTGAATTATGTGTACAACGTACAGAACAGATGATTTCGAGTTCACTTCCGAGTGTGCCATATTCGATCTGCTTGATATTCCTCTCTATCATGGTTGGATAGTTGATCCCCAGGTACTCTTAAGCTAATAAGAAGCGTGTTTTTATGTGCTGTCATTTTCTTTGTTGATCGTATGATTGTTGTATGCAATGCATTTTCTATGGCTCCATGGAGTGCGGATCCTGTCGTGTTAATCCTGCCAATCTCCTCATGTAACCCATGGAAGCTTGTTATGTCCATAGGATTAAACATGATTAACCATTGTCCAAGTGAATTTGATGGTTTATTTTCATGGTGCACATGTGCCAGGATCATGAAACTGCTTGTGCCATCGGGTCGAAATCCTATAATGCGATCATGGAAGAGCTTGTTGCATTGGAAGCACGGAATATGGAGGCTTCGCATAAGATTAAGCCCGGGGATTGTGTGGATTCTGCTGCAACAACTGCCACTCTGGGAGTCCCCTCTCCTAGCCTATCGAAATCCAAATCTGTTGACGATTCTCCTCGTTTTGATTCTGGTCGGAAATTAAGAAAAGGGGATCTTGATGAGGAAGCAGAGCTATTGAGAGTCTTGAAATTATCGGAGGCCGACTCGCAAACCTCAATTGGTGTTGAAAATCCGATCCCGCAGCGGATGGAACCTTCCTTATCAGATAATGGCACTTCCTTGAGCAATGATAGTGGAAGGAAGACACATTTTGAGACCCTCGAAAGGGAAGAGTCCCCGAAGATTGATGGGATTATTCAGGATCAGTTATCTTGTGCTAAACCCGAAGAATTAACTCTTCCAAAGGATGCTCTTCCAAAGGATGTGGTTGAGAAGAGTGATGTCGTGACACCGATGGTTAATGGGAGTATCGCCTCTACGGATGGAAAGAACACTGACATTCCCCGGGGGGTTGAAAAATTCGAGATTCAATTCGCTTCTGCAACTGATGCTCGTGACATTCCAGACAATGTGAATGGCTGTGACACGACAAAAGCATCATCCGTGTCTTTACAAAATGCTGATTCAGATTCTTCTAGTAGCAGAATAAATCATCGAAATGTGCCTGGAAGTGAACCTATATATGAAGGAGAAGACAGCATAGTGGACTCTGCAGCAACACCACATGAACACCGGGAGCCTTTCTACGAAGGCGAGCCAACTCTTGCAAAACAAGCTAACAAAAGCGCAGTAGATGACTGCAATGCAAGGTCCAAAGATGAAATCACTCCACAACAAGGTTCGTAATGCATCTATTCAAGCTCCGTTTTTCGTTTCGTTTTTCGATTCTCTTGTTTCTTGCTGCTTAAGATTTGCTTTAAAGGAAAATTAATGTATTGTGCTACGTGCTTTATGCTAATGCGTAATGCTATTCAGGAGAACTGATTGAAAACTTCTTGAAGAACAATGCCAGTCAATTAACCTTTTTCGGGTATTCTTAGTATCTTTCTAGAGATTCGATTTCTTCGAGCCTATCACATCGTAAATCTTTATGTCATGATGAAGCTTGTTGTTTAGATACTGTTCATATGCTCTGCAGGCTTTTTTGCTTACAAGAAGGACTTAAAGAACGCGAGCTTTGTGTTTTCTTCCGTAACAACCATTTCAGCACCATGTTTAAGGTTAGGAGTTGACATCGGTTTCTCTGCGAATTATGTGTTCTCTCGAACGACTTCGACTTAACTGATAAGCGAATAAGCTGATTTAAGAATCATTGTTCTTATTTTACTTGCAGTATGATGGTGAACTCTACCTTTTAGCTACTGACCTAGGATATCTAAATCAGCCGAACCTAGTTTGGGAGAAACTAAACGAGGTAAAATCTCTACCTTGATATCTTCTTAACCAAGAATCATTGCATGAATCACATCGGAATTTGATTCCTCGAGTTTTCAGGTCAATGGAGACACGCTGTTTATGACTGGAAACTTCAAGGAATTCAAGGTGGATAATAGTCATGCCACTGGTACATGGGATGAACAAAATGCAATGGCTACTACTGCTGTAAGTATATATATATATATGTATTTCTCTTGCCGCAAAAAAATTTTAACGGTTAATTCGAATGAATTTAATGAGTACTTACCGGAGAAATTTACATGATGCAAGGACTACATTGCCAGCATCGATAACGCAGTGCAAGCCGGGATGGACGTTAAGTAATTATCTGAAACCCCGTGTTACTTGTATCAATATTAGTATGTTAATCTGTTCTATAATAATTCTATCAAGTTTTTGTTGCAGCTCGGATTTTCAGCTCGCAATAGCTCTGCAACAGCAAGAGTTCGAAGAAGAGCCACCACCGAGTGTTGGTGGTTCAAGATTAGTAACAAGTCCCCAGGTATTTTGTTCTCTTCTATGCTGCTGAAGTACACAATATCCTACATGCTTAGGACCCTTTTTAATACATGAAAAACTTTGAAAAAACCAATATATCCATACTACACTCATAAATCAGATGAGAGTTCGAGTTGTTTTAGAAGATTTTTGTTGAAATGGGCATTTTGCAGATGAAGAGAAGCAGCGGAAGGAGCTCTTCATCTTCGTCTTCATCATCATCGCCGAAGCGAGACCAGAAATCAAAAGATATGTGTATTGTGATGTAAGCTTTTGGCATAAATTAATTAATAAATACAGACCTTCCTCACTAATAATAAAATTCAGTTCAAATTAATTATGCAAAATAATACTAAAATGCATAATTTATACTTATGACCAGTAAGGAAGCAAACAGCTTAAATAAGCAAAAACTTCATTCCCTTTTTCATTAAGGGATTTTACAGCAGTCCTTAGACCAGTAATCTGAAGGGAAACAATGAGGTATATATAGTTATTTATGCTTATGACACTATGTATTTATGCCATACAAATCGAAATAAGATCGAGCTTTACGAGCTCTCGTTGCTGCTTCGACCGAAACTTTTCTGCTTAAATGTGAAAACAAAGCAAACAAGTTCCAGTAGAAGAAGCAACAAGAAGCTGAGGATGATCCTATTCCAAGAAAGATGAAAAATACACACTAAAAAACAACAAACTTTATGAATCACTGCCCATATAACACTTCTTAGACCCGCATTGCCCGGAGGCTAGGATCCGGACTTGGTATTTCAAGAGAAAACCGAGATTAGGGTCAATATACGGCAGGTTGAACTATGGTCAGAAAGGTTCTGTATGACTATTCTCTAATCCTTATGGCAATTTTTTCTATGCACTGGATCTTTCATATATTATGCTACAAGAGGTCCTTGTTGAGTTACGATTCGGGTTTGTATGTTAATTACAGGGTTGTGACCGGTTTAACTTGTAGGATTTCGCCTTAACGGGGGCGAATGATCTCGAGAGCGCCGAGAAAACATTTATGGTATGAGAAATCTTCGGTTGTCCCATCTATTTTTACCAAAAGAAAGCAGCGAGCCTTATGTTCATGGTGTTTACCTACCTTAAAAATGTAGGGGCATAAAGCATCAAGAAACCTTTGTATAACTTTCTTTTTTTTTCTTTCCTATCTCCGATTTTCAAGTATCGTATACCTTTATTTCCAGAACCCCAGAGCCGATCTTCTCGTCTCGTCAAGGATGGAAGTACAACGCCATCATCACGTTATTCCATTCAGCTCCACTTAACCGGTGCTCAATAGACCTACAGTCAGCACAATTATAAGCTCAGGAAACAAATCATTTCGAACACGAAACATGTCTAAAATAATGACTTGGTCAGGTTATCGGAATTGGTGTCGACAACCAAAGCACTAATAACGTGTGAAATCAGGAGATGTCGCAAGCTATCTGTGCTAGTCTAAGATAAACATGGAGGAAAACTTGAGCAACATAAACAAAAAAAGGTGAATAACTATTGGATGAAAGCTTACTTGTGCAAAATATCCTTTAAAGTGCGTTTAAGCCTCTGGATGCCATTCAATGTTAGACGTTCTCTCAAGATCGATTTCTTTCTTGTTTCAATCATTTTCTGCTGGTCGAAAGCGGAACCGCCAAGGGCATCCATAAACTGAGAACCATATTTCTCGGGCTTAAGAGCTTTGGGTACTTTAAACTCTACATCTTGCTTCTCAGAACCAATGAAATTTCCTAGCAGCTTATAGACGTCAACTGGTTCGGCGAGCCTTTGATCCTGAAAATTAACAATGGTATGGATATAAATAGAATGATAACATCAAAAAATGTCAGCCCTCGATAACATTGGAAGGGTATATACTCGAATTTATATGTGAGTGTCCTACGCGGATGAGTCTGAAATGAACCTGCTCGACCTTTTCAAAGTATATGTTTAAAGAATCATAGATGACTTCGTGTCCAATCGATCATATTCATTACTGGGAGGCAATTATTCATAAGCACACCCCAGAGATCTGTTATACCGAAATCCTGATACAGCTACCTTCAAGTAAAGTTCAACGGGAGAAGTTCTACGAGATTTCGAGATTTTGAGGTGATCTTTCCATAAAATATCGACCTGCTTGAACTCGGGAAATCCTAAAAGGAATTTGATAAATTAAAAAGCAAAGGAAGATGAAATATCACCGAACTTGTAATCAACTTGTTATGAATGTCTATCTAGAAAAGCAAAGAGAATTTATAGCACTCTGATAAAGCAAAATAAACAGAACTGAATGATGGCAAACTTTGACAAGCGAGGAAATATAAGATTCATTGCGCTAGATGTAACCTTATCAACACGATAGCTGAACTGAACAACCTGATCTCCATATGCATTCCTCACAATTCCATCATATGCAGCACATATATCACGCATGAAGAACATAAGCCTTCGTGACAGCGTTCCAGGAAGGTCAGCATGATCACTGAAAGAACTCCCCAGGCTAGTAACTGAATGAACAAAGCATTCTAGTGGATTCAGACCTGTCATAAAAGAACTTTCAACCACAGCATACTGGATGAAATTCTTAGCAGATTCCACAGTATCATCAACTTCCTGGTTTAAGCTATGTGACTTCAGATAATTCCATGCGGCACATGAGAGCTTAAGAGGAAACCTGAATGATAAGGTACAAGTGAATTCTGCAATCTGAGACACATGCTATGCTGTACTAGCTTCAGCAAGTTACCCTTGCTCCCTGCCTTGAACATGGTCAATAAAGAATCGTCTTTATTTGCATATCTGTACATTAAATTCTGAATATCTCGAAAAACTTGCTTAAAAGAATCGACAGAAGCTTGGCTAACTGCAGCTGATCTTCTCTTATCGTAGCACATGCGCTCAACCTCGAAAGCCATACAACTGTCAGTTCCTTCATTACTTCCAGCAAGGAAATCACAGTAAGAACAAGCCATTAACTGTTTAAAGTTGCAGTGTCGTGTTATTGGAGAAGTCCTGGAGGAATTTTGTCGTGTTTCGGGGCACAAGGTTAATATATACAGAAGACCACAATTTTTTTCTCCACTAATGTTACGAGGGAGGTTCATAATGCTATTAGCTCGGGTTTGGGTTCCAGGAAGTCCAGAATCTTGGTAAATATCTCGGCGTCCCGCTTCTGCACTCTCGAGTCAACAAATCTTCTTACAGTTAAATAATCTCGCGGGTTAGAGAGAAATTATCTGGATGGAAGGCAAAATTTCTCTCTTTGGCGGGTAGAATTACGCTTGCTAAATCAGTGCTATCGACCATTACCTTTTATGCTATGCAGTCCACTTTGCTTCCTAAAGGGACTTGTGAGGAGATTGAGAAGTTAATCCGCTCTTTTATTTGGGGTCACTCGGAAGCAAGTAGAGGAGTTCATCTGGTTAATTGGGAGACGAAATGTTTAGCTATTGGACAAGGTGGGTTAGGCTTCAAAAAACTCGAACATCAGAATGCAGCTTTTCTAATGAAAGTGCCTTACAATTTGGTTTTGAATCAAGATCAATTATGGGCTCAAATCCTCCGTGCTAAATATAAATGGAATGGCGAGCTTCCATCCACACTTGAGCGGAGAAATAGTTCTCGTCTTTGGAAGGGGATTTAGATGGTTTGGGAGGAAGTCCGTCAAAGTATAGTGTGGGATGTGGGAAATGGTAATCATGTAGATTTTTCGAATGATGATTGGTTAAATGATGTAGGTCCTTTGTTAGTGCATATTCCGAGTCCTTTGATTAGTAATTCCGTACCGAGCAATAGTGCATCGGCAATGGTGGGTGATGATGGCGAGTGGAGATGGTCGTCTTTGCGCAATCTGCTACCTGAGAATGTTTTGCTCCGTTTACAAACTACGATGCCACCTTTGGCTGCTGCTCGAGCCGATGCGCCTGGATGGAAGTGGCGGGCGGATCGGAGGTTCACGGTTCGCTCAGCTTTTGAGATTAGAATGGGGGTTCGAACGCCTCAAGTCATTGCGTTTGGAACATGATTACTAAATATAGGGGACTTCAAAGGATTAGACTTTTCCTTTGGCTGCTGGCGGGTGAGAGACTTTCAACCAATGCTGAACGGTTTAGACGGCATATGAGCTCGGATAAGCTTTGCGGGGTGTGTGGTCTGGAGGATGAATCGGTTGACCATTTGTTCAGAACATGTCCCTCGGCCTTATCTGTTTGGTTTGGTCTGGTCTGATTAGGACTTAGAAGCTTACGGATTTTTTTTTATCAGGGAGCTTAAGGACTGGATCGGTGTTAACCTGTACAAGCCCGGTTTTTATGCACGGATCGACACCGACTGGAACCTTCTTTTTGGTGCTGTGTTTTTTCGATTTGGTTTCATCGTAATAAGCGAATCTTTGATCCTGACTGGAGCGAGGTAGAACCAATTATGGAGAGAAGCAGGCGACTACAAGATGAAACGCAGATGGCTATTGAGCCGGCCATGGTTTTTGCAAGGCAATCGCATGCAGCGAATAAGGCTCCAACTAGATGGTTTCCTCCTCCTCACAATTGGTGTAAGCTTAATACTGATGGTGCTCGGGATAGTGCGACGGGTTTCGCTTCGTGTGGTGGTGTTGTTCGATCTTGGAGGGGTGATTGGTTAGTCGGATTCTCGAGATCCATTGGCATTTGTTCGGTCTTGGAGGTGAAACTTTGGGGTGTCCATGAGGGTTTGATCCATGCTTGGAATTATGGTGAGCGGAGAGTTATTTTGGAAGTTGATAGCCTGGAAACAGCTCGATTACTTAAACAAAAGCGAAGTGCAGGTGTTTCTTTCCCTCTCTATGATCGAGTTGTTGATTTGTTGGAGCGGGATTGGATCGTTCATATTTGCCACATTAGTAGAGATGCCAATCAGGTTGCAGACAAGTTGTCAATGATGCTTGTTCCTGGCGTTATCGCAGCACAGACGTATCATGACCTCCCTCTTTTACTCTGCCGTTCGTCCAGCTCGACTCCATGGGGGTTGAAGTAGTTGCAGACTGAAGTTTCTTAGTTTTTATTATCTTCCTTTGTTCACAAAAAGAAGAAGAAGAGAGAGACCATTCTATAATTTTAATAATAAAAAAACTCAACAAAACAACAATTAGTCGAGGAATCGTTCATGTACTTTACCCGCGAAGGAAAATGGGAGTTGAGGTTAAAATCCAAGCAAAATTTACAAGTCCTCAAAAAGTAAAAATAAGGAAGTTACTGGAGGGTAAAAAGTACAGCGGTGGCTGCACATATATATAAGCTCCTGGATATACTCATTGATGCCTGAACAACTTGTCCGTGGTTGCTTTTCCTTTCTCCTCATATTTCCTCTCTAAAATATCCCAAAACAAGATGTCTTCACCAAGAAAACGCCGTGAGATGGACTTGATGAAACTGTAAATGATTCAATTTTTACCCAAATTACATCTAAAATAATCTCTATACTATTTTTGTTTTGCTCTTTGTTTTTTTTACTATTTTTGGCTAATTTTATTGACTGTTTTTACTAGGATGATGAGTGACTACAAGGTCGAGATGATCAACGATGGCATGCAGGAATTTTATGTTGAATTCAATGGACCAAAAGAAAGTAAAGTTCTTTAATTTTTCATTTATTTCCATGATCTGGTTCTTTACTTTCTTATCAAAATTTTGATCCTGTCGTATCTGTTGTCTCTTGGGTTTTCTTATTTATCTGAAAAGTCGTGTTCTTTTTATCATTTATCTGATTATTGTTGCTGGGGCTTCCTTTTTGATGATTTTGAAGTTTGAAAATTAGCAATAATATATATTTGTGTTTTCTGGGTATTTTGTTTTTATCTGAGCTGCCACTTTTGTATTGTCTTTAGTTCTTTGAATTTTCTAAATGAGGATGGGGTTTGTTGATAGATTTTGTTTCTGGGTGTTTTCAGACTAGAGCCAAATAAGGATGATTATTTTATTGTTTTTCCTCACAGATAATCTAATATGAAATGTAACAGGTCCTTACCATGGTGGTGTGTGGAAGATTAGGGTGGAGCTGCCAGATGCTTATCCTTATAAATCTCCATCAATCGGCTTTATAAACAAGATCTACCACCCAAATGTTGATGAAATGTAAGCTTCTTATATGTTAAAAGAGTTCTAAATTTTGTTGTTTTTAGCTTTCTCTTAGTGTAAGCTTCTTATTATGAGCAGGTTATGGTTTGGGCTGTGTATTATTGTTCTGATTAATAAAGTTCAAGGGCACTCTTTTCCTCCTTCCTATGTCCTTCATGTTATGTTGCAACATGGAGGGTATGAAGGGGTTTTTTAATGAGGCCTAATCTTCTATAAAAATATATATATATATATATATTATGAGGTAATTTTAGAATCATCAACTCTGTTTTTTACTTTTAAATGATCTATTATGGTTTAAGATGTCTTTGAGCTATGAGTTTCAGGTCTGGTTCAGTTTGCTTGGATGTCATCAACCAAACTTGGAGCCCCATGTTTGGTAAACGTTGTGCAATATTCGATTTCCTTAATTCTTTCTTGCTTTAATTATATGCTGATGTTACTCTTGAACTTGACAATCCCTATGTTCAATTTCAGATCTGGTAAATGTGTTTGAAGTGTTCCTTCCTCAACTTCTTTTGTATCCCAACCCATCGGACCCATTGAATGGAGAAGCTGCTGCTCTTATGATGAGCGACCGTGCTGCCTATGACCAAAGAGTTAAAGGTAAGCATTTTTACATAAGCTTCTATACATGATTTAAGCTTTTATTTCACTTTAAGAATGCCCATCTCAAAAGTTAAGGCATTTATCTCAATTTCCGTTTTTTCTAAAGCCAATGAAGCCATAGTAGGCAGCAGGCCAGTGAGCTTACAAGAATTTTTATTGGCTACCTACATGAGATCTCATATGTTGGGAGCATGAAATGTGTGTCTATAAGTAGCACAGAACTTCTTTCTCTACTCATTTGACCAATGAGTAATGACCATTTTGTTGAGTTGTCAACAATTATGTTACTTGGACTTGGTCTTAAGTGTCAAATATGAGTATTTGTTTTACACTGTTATGTTCAATTTTTTCTATGTATTTTGGAGGTTCTTTGGTAGGTCATGTTCCCACACCAATCTCGAACTTCATCACTAGTCTAAACTAGTTGTAGTTCTAGTTTTTGAATGAATAACTTGAAAATTACTGGCTTATGTTTGAAACTCGTACTTGATGTTTGAAAATTACTTGGCATATATGTCCATGCAACATTTTCTTTTCAGTGTCTTATCCTTTTAATCGTTTCTGGTCGTCAAATTTCTTACCATTTGACAGGATACTTGTGGATCATTCACTCCTTTTCGAGTTAGTGGGTTTTGTTTCAGTTGTGATTTTAGTCACCCTTAAGTTACTTAGAATCGCCATCATGCAAATTGAATCTTTTGTTAACCTTGTGACAATAATTTTATTTAATCTTCTGCAAAATTGGAGGTAGTTGGATTTGGCATGTACGTGACCTAAGGTAATTTGTAATTGGAAAATCTGTGATTCTTTTCATGGTTTGACGTTTGCTGTAAACCTCGAGGTGTTCTAGATTGAACAAAGTAGAAAAAGTTTCAGTAAGAGAGAATGAGTTACTTTTCCAGTGACTATCAATGGTTAAGCATTACTATAGCATGACTAAGAAGTTGATAAGTAGTGGCAACCCGAAGTTTGACAAGATCCGAAGATGTGTTTGCTGACATTATAGATATTGTTCTCTCTGCAGAAACGTTCATTGGTTGTCGGCTTTTCAATATTGGTTTAAGGATACCAATCAGTCTGCAATGCTGATGTCCTCTTTTTTTCGGGGGGTTTCAGAATATTGTGAGAAATATGCCAAGCCAGAAGACATTGGAGCAAAGGCAGAAGACAGGTCCAGTGATGAAGAGCTGAGTGAAGATGAATTTGCTGCTTCCGATGACGAGGAAATCGCCGGAAAAGCTGATCCTTAGGCC